TCCCATGTGGTTATGGGGGAAAAAGGAATGAGGGGAGGTCCCCTGGGTGGGCAACACAGCATTTGGGGAGGGGGAGGCTGGAGAAGGACCCACAGACCCCAGAGCCCCCATGGGGTGGAGGGGGGTCCCACTGGGGGACAAGAACAGACGGACACAGCTCGGGGGGTTCTGACACCCCCAGGGTGACACCTCCCGGGCTTTGGGGGGGGGTTCCTGGCCTCTTATCCAGCACTTCCCCACCCTGGACCCCCATCACCCCCCTGGCACGGCCGGGGCTGCTCCAGGAGGACACGGGGCGTCCGTCTGTCCCCCCTCCTGCTTCCTTCCTGGCCTTTGTGGGCTGTTTGTGCCGGAAGCCGGTCCCTGCCTGGATGGGGGCCCTGGGGACATCCGGCCGGTCACGCCGCTTCCGACGGCACCTTCCCCCCCACTAACGAAGCCACGGCTAATTGGGGGCCGCCAGGTGACAGGGCCAGCGGCGTGGGCACAGCCGTGTCCCCGGGCCACGCCGGGACGGCAGCGGGTGGCTTCGGTGGCTCCCGCCCGCTCGAAGGTCACCCCGTTATCTGGGTCCCATAAAACGGGAACAGGACGTCCCAGGAGGGAATCACACCCCGAAACCTCCCCGGTTGAGGGGGGGGTGTCACCTGAGGGTGACTCCAAGTGTCACCAAGCCGAGAAAGACCCCCCCAGGGGACCCCGGGGAGTGGGGCCCTGTGTCCCAGAGGGGCAGGAAATGCTTTGCAAGGGAGGGACTTTAACCAAATAAATAAAACCCCAACAAAGGGATTTCTGCGAAATGAAAAATAAATATTGGACTTGCAGGCGAGGGTGAGGCGTGGGGACATGGGAGAGAGAAGTGGGGACAGGGAGAGAGGAGTGAGGACAAGGAGAGAGGAGTGGGAACATGAGGAACACCTGGGGAAAGGTGTGAGGATACAGAGAGAGGAGTGGGGACATGAGGGACAGAGAGAAAGACATAGGGAGACACAGACATGGAGCACAACGTGGGGGGACACGAGAAGCAAGGTGTGGGGACACGGGGGGACACAAGGGGACACGTGGAACAAGGTGTGAAGGGAAACATGGAGTGAGGTGGAGGGACATGCAGAGCACAGCCCAGATTTCCAGGGCTGGAGAACTCCAGGTCTGCATTGAAGGATGGGGATGAGAATGGGACAGGGACAGGGACAGGGAAGCAGTCCCCAGGGAGAACCTGGGCAGTCCCTCCTCACCCAGAGCACAGCAGCACCCCCAAAGCCACGCTCTGCACATTCCCAATCCTCCTTCCCTGCAGGATGCTGCAGGCATTCCTGAACCCTGTCCAGGCTCGGGGAGCTGCAGAGCCGGGGCAGGACGTGGCACATCCCCAGGCCAGACTGGGACCAGCACGGGGAGGGGGGTCTCCAACATCCCCCTCGCGGGGACGCGGGCTCAGGGGAGCTGTAAATCCCTCGGCTTCCTGCTGGCACATCCCCGCAGAGCCGAGTTAATCATTGCCCAGACCGAAACCGCGCAGTGTGGCCGGGCAGGTCCCCGGGCAGGTCCCCGGGTAGTGTCCCCTGGCTGCTGTTTTGAGCACTGTCCCACGGCCAGCGAAGGGGCCAGGACCCGGCCAACACTCCAGCAGGGAGCCCCTGGCCCCCAGCCCATCAGGTCCCGCCCTGTTTGCCTTTCAGCGAGTTTGGGACCAGCTCGTCCAGTTTTTGCACGCCGGGAAAAGCTCAGTGGTGCCGGGGAATGGCAAAGGCTGGGAAAACACGGGGTGACAGGGAGGGACACGGGGAGTGTGATAACGGGGTGTGCAAACACACCAGGACTGGGCTCTGGGGTGCCAGGCTGGGCAAGGGGAGGGGTCCCCACGCAGCCCTGGGGTCCCCACACAGCCCTGGGGTCCCCACGCAGCCCTGGGGTCCCCACACCCTCCCTGTGCTCACCCCAGCACATCCCGACCCACCCCTGCCTTGGGAATGTTTGGCACAGGGCAGGCAGGGAGGAAGCTCACAGGGATTCTGCCCTCTCTCAGGACCCCCAGCCCCCCTCAGACTCACCCACTCCTCCACGTTGGGACCCTCCTGGGCCACCGGCACCTTGTCCCAGTAGATGTTTGGTTTTCCGTATTTCCAGATCTTGCTCCGCGTCTTGTGAGCGAAGAAGCAGATGAGGCAGAGGAGGATGACGATGAGGAACCCGCAGACGATGGCCACAGCCTGGAGGGGAGGAGGGAGGGGGCTCTCAGGGTGGGGGTCACAGGGGCTGGGTTCCCTGGGACGAGCAGGAATTGCTCCCTTTATCCCCAAATCCTCCTGATGTTGGACTCCTACCATGGCAGGGGGAGAGGGGCAGAGTCCCCCCATCCTGGGATGGAGCCCATCAGGGGTTCCAGAGATTTAGGGGCCAGGTCAAGCAATGGAGGGTGGTTTATTTTCCCAAGGGGACAGGACAAGTTTGGGATCTGGGAAGCAGCGTGGAGCTGGCACCCTCCAGCACCTCCCTGCAGCACCCTGACCCCACCGCCGGCTCAGCCACGCGCCAGCTCCCACACCAGGCATCCCAAACGGCTGCCATGAGCCAGATCCCTGCAGCCACACAGGAACCGGGATGGAGTAGGCCCTGCTTGGCCTTGGCAGGGAGCAGGAGCAGCCGGGGCCGGGCTCAGGAATGTGGCACGGCCGGCACGGCCGGATGGGAACCGGCAGCGCCGGTCCAGCACGTGTGCCACCAGCTGGAGCCCCGGGGCTGGGGACGGGGCTGGGGACGGGGCTTGAGGGCTCTGGTTGCCCCACGGACCCCTCGGGGTCCCAAGCTGGGCTGGTGGCACCAGCAGTGCCCAGCTGGCACCCTGACCCTTCCCAGCCCCGCAGAGTCCCAGCCCCGCTCCAACACTTTTACAGTTGAGGAGAACAAAGGTCCAGAAACTGGGTCTGTGTCGGGTTGAGAGCCCGTCCCGTCCCCTCCCCGAAACTCCTGGTGCAGGCAGATGGATCACCCCGGGTCCTCCCGCACCCCTGGATTGTCCCAGCCCTTCCCACAGCCCTGGATCACCCCGATTCCTCCTGCAGTCCCAGCTCATCCTGGATCCTCTTACAGCCCTGGATCACCCCAATTCCTCCCACAGCCCCAGATAATCCTGGTTCTTCCCACAGCCCCTGCTCAGCCCAATTCCTCCCACATCCCTGGATCACCCCGACTCCTCCTGCAGTCCCAGCTCATCCTGGTTCCTCCCACATCCCTGGATCACCCCATTCCTCCCACAGTCCCAGATAATCCTGGTTCTTCCCGCAGCCCTGGATCACCCCAGTTCCTCCCACAACCCCAGGACACCCCGATTCCTCCCAAAGCCCGGGATCACCCTGATTTCTCCCACAGCCCTGGATCACCCCAATTCCTCCCAGAGCCCCAGCTCATCCTCGTTCTCCCCCACATCCTCAGCTCATCCCAACTCCTCCTGCAGCCCTGGATCACTTGCCCCGGTTGCCGCTACACCCCCAGATCATCCCAGTTCCTCCCGCAGCCCCAGATCACCCCAAACTCATTAAAGAGAGAGGGAAAATGCCAAGAGCAGGACAGGGACCGAGGGCAGAACAGGGACTGAGGGTAGGACATGTGGTCACCCACCCTCTCCCTCCCCAACTCCACACCCCGTGGGACGAAGCCCAAAGGGGTCTGTGCCCAGAGCGGGGGGGGGGGGGGGTGGGCCCAGCGCCGGGGCCCCCCCCCCCCCCCCCGGGGGGGCACGGCCGAGGGGGGGGGGGGCCGGGGGGGGGGGGGGGGGGGGGGTGTCTGGCCAGAGCTGGGGCTGCCCCCTCACCTCCTGGGGGTCCACGGTGCAGTAGTGGTACAGGTACTGGTTGAGGTAGGTGCTGCCGCTGTAGATCTGGCTGCACATGGTCAGCAGGGGGTTGTAGTAGTAGCTGCCCGTCATCTGCGCCTGGGGGTTGACGCCCACGACGTAGACGATGGAGGCGATGAGCATGGCCAGGGCCAGCACCGCGCTCACCACCAGCACCACCAGGTAGAAGCGGCGCGAGCGGGTGCTGCTGGACTTGCTGACGCCGGCCACGAAGAGCCCCAGCTGGGCCAGGAAGCAGAGCACGGCCATGGCGATCATGAAGCCGTTGGCCGCCCGCGGGTTGGTGACGCCGCCGTAGTACCCCCCGTAGCCGTACCCGTAGTTCAGCCCGCTGCCGTAGTAGCCGGAGCCGTAGTAACCCCCCAGGCCGTTGCCGTAGAGCCCCCCGAAGCCGTAGCCGTACTCCCAGGCCAGGGTGGAGGCCACGCAGGCGAAGATGGCGATGCAGAGCAGGATGACCGCGGCCTCCAGGATCCTCACCACGCCCGGCGGCGACGACCACTTGTAGAAGTGCTGCGGCACGTCCTCGATGTAGTAGGAGCCCGGCGGCGGCGAGCGGGCCCCGTAGTCGTAGCCGTAATCGCCCGTGGGGGCCCCGTAGCCCGTGGGGGGGCCGTAGCTGGTGGGGGGGGCCGTAACCCATCGGGGGGCTGTCGTAGGGCTTCTTGCTGAACATGGTGGCGGAGCCTGGGGGGGACACGGACGGAGAGTCAGAGCCGGTTGAGTGCCAGGAGGTGCCGGGAGGAGGAACCGCCGCGTTTCCACCGCCCCGTGGGGACTTTGGTCCCCCCCCCTCCCCACTCCCCGTCACCAGCACCGTCAACACCCGCCCAACGCCGCGGCACCGGAGTCAGCGCGGGGAAACTGAGGCACGGGCGCGGTGAGTCACCGGCGGCGCCCGGCCCGTCACACCCCGGCCCTGCCCCACGCCGGGGACCCCGAAACACCCCCACAGCGGCCCGAGGAACCGGGGATTGTTTAAATTCTCCTGAAAGCAGCACAGCGCTTACCCGGGGCCCGCCCCCGCCCCGAGGGTACCGCCGTAAGCAGATCTGAAGGATTAAAGAGGAAAATAATAATAATAATAATAATAATAATAACAACACGGGGCACGTGAGCAGCAGCCCCCAGGAAAGTGGTGAATCGGTGCGCAAAAATTTGGGCGGGGTGTCTCAAAATCGATGCGGGGACCTCCCCACGCGGTGCAGAGACCCCGGCCCGGAGCAGGGAGCAGCACCTGAATCAGGGGAAACCTGAAGCCCTGTGGGAAATCCAACCCAGGCACCCGTTCTGGCGGAGCTCAGCGGCAGGATCAGACCCCCATGTTGGGTGGGGGTGGGTTGGGAGGACCCCCTGAGCCGCGGCAAGGGTGGGCACTGGGCCCCAGTGGTGCCCCCGGGGCTTTGGGGCTGCCCGACCCAACCCCTCTCCACTTCAAGTGTCCCAACATCCCCCTGTCCACAAACCCCCGAACCTCCGGATCGCGGTCGGATTCACCCCCGGACCGCGAACTGATCCCCCCGCCCTCCCGGGGGTCCGAGCGGCCACCGGGACCCGGCAGCTGCGGGGACCCCCCCGAGCGGGACTGGGGGGGTCTCGGGCTCCCGGAGCGGGAACCGGAGCGCGACGCCCCCCGGGGCCGGGGGGAAGGACACGGGAGGGGGATCCTGGGGTCCCTTCCCCTCTGAGGGGGCAGCGGGCGGGCAGCGAGACCCCCGGTCCCGCCGCCCGGGGAGGAGCAGCGGCCTCTCGTCTTTGGGAGCCCCGGTACCGGTGGGGATCCCGGTGGGGACCTCGGTGGGGAGCCCGGTACCGGTGCGGACCCCGGTGGCCGGTCCCGCGGGGGTCCGCGGTGAGACCCCGGTACCGGTGGCGGAGTTCGGCGGCCGGTACCGGCGTGGACCCCGTGGGGAACTCGGTGGCACCGGAGGGGATTTCGGTGCCGGTGGGGACGCCGGTACCGGAGGGAGGCTCGGCGGGGACCCCGGTACAGGTGGGGCGGCGGGGAAGGAAGAACCCCCCCCGTGCGCGGCGGGGCGCGGGGACCCCCCGTGCGCCCTCCCGCCCCGGGAGCCCGCTCGCCCCGCGGGGCCGCGGCCGGGGCCGGTACCGGGGGAGGGGGTCCCGTCACCGCGGAGCCACTCACCTGCCGCCGCCTCCTCCGCTTTGTTCACCTTAAAATGGCAGCCGGGAGCGGCGGGAGGCGGCGGCGGCAGCGCTGCGGGACCGGCCCCGGGTCCCGCCCCCGGGAGGGGTGGGATGGGGGGGTGGGAGCACCGGGATCCGCCTCGGAGGGGGGGGGGGGGGGGGTGAAATTGGGGGTGAAATCGGGGGGCGATGAAATTGTGCCCCGTGCTGAGGGTCCCGAGGGCGCTGCGGTGGGATGGGGGCACTCGCGGCCCCCGGACACGGTGGGTGCCCCGGGATGCGCGTTAAGACCCCCGCAAAAAAAAGTTGAGACACCCCTCCCAAAAAAAAAAACAAAACAAAACACCACCACGTTTCTTAAACCCGGTTACTGAATTAAAGCCACTTCAGCAGCTGCACCCCCTGTCCGGGGAGGGGGGTGAGGGGTTCCCCGATTCCCAGGGATAAGATGGGGGCACAGCCGGGGCCTGGGGACAGGCAGGACCCACCCAGCGCTCGGGGGTCCCGGGGCCACGAGGCTCCACGAGGACCTCCAGAATGAGGAGCCGGTGGGTTTGCTCCCCGTTCCCGCGTGGGTGCGATGGGTCGGTGGGTACCGGGTGATCCCTGGTGGGTACCGGGTGATCCCCGCGGCAGCGCCACCCCCTCCCCATCCCCTGGGGTGCCTCGGGCGGGGGAGGGTCCCCCGGCCCGGGCACAGGCTCAGGAGCCACCGGCGCTGGGGTGGGTGACACGATTGTACTCCTGGATCCGCGCCTTGAGGTGCGTCAGCTTCTTCTTCAGGTACTCACAGCGCCGCTGCTTCTCCAGCCAGGCTGAATCCTGCCGGGAATAGCCCTGCCAAGGCACCGGGGTCTTGTGATGCCCAGGGCACACTGCCCCCCCGCTCCCCAGAACAAATCCTGAGCCCTCCCGCTGCTCACCCTCCTCTTCCTCACGAACTCACAGCGGTTGTGGGTCACGTCCCGGAGCCCCGCGGGGGGTTCAGCCCTAATGAGGTGGCTGGAGGTGACAAATCCGGAGGGCTCAGGGGCACCCAGAGTTCCTCCGGCACCTCCGGCGCTTCCAAGACCTGCGGCAAAACCCTCCCCCAGGGCGCAGCCAAGAAATTCCAACGCTCATTAATTTTCCAGGAGCTGCCTTCGGGCGCTGCTGGTGCCAGCGGAGCCTGGGGGTCCACGTGTCTCCTCCTGTCCCCCCAACACCCTCTGCAGCCCCTCCCCAGGCTCACCCCTAATCCCTGCAGAGAACGCCCAGCTCATCACACCCACGGGACGGTGCCCCGTGCCCACCCAGGGACCCACCGTCCTGCCCGGGGGGTGACATGTGGCACGGAGCTCCCGGTGCAGATCCACGTATTCCGCCAGCTGGTCCTGGAAGACGCCCTTGTAGCCCTCCTGCTGCCGGGGGCTCAGGATCGCCGGGTACCTCCTGCCCCCCCAAAACCACGGGGCTCAAGTGCTGCCCTCGCCGCCGGGACCCTCGTGGTTGGGTCACGGGGGATCCGTGACACCCCCGTGACCACCCCAGTTGCCAAAGGGACACTTACACCACGTAGTCGGGGACGGCGCGTGGTCGGGGCGACAGTCTGGGGGCGACAGACCTGTCCCCCCGCTTCTCCTGCTCCCCGGCAGGACGGGTCCTCCCCGGGGGTCCCGGCGGTGCCACCACCTCGTCCTCGAAGGTGACACGCCTGGCACGGGCTGGCGGCGGCTTCGGGACGCAAGGGAAGGGTGTGAGGTGGCAGCGCCGCCGAGCCGGGGGACAGGGCGGGGACCACCCGGGGCTGCCCCCGCTCCCGGTGACCGCGGGACCCCCGGGGACCTCCCGGGGCTTCCAGGTCACCTCGCCCCGCCGCACGTGGAGGCTGCGGGCCGGGCAGAGCAGCGCCGGGAGGAAGAGGAGGGTGAGAGCAGAGACAGCAGCGAGGGGGGCCCGTGACACAGCCCCCCAAGGGTGGCAGTCCCCCGCCACTGCCAGTGACACGAGGGACATGAGACCCGACGGGGCGGGGGGGCAGGAGGATGCTGCGGTCACCGAGGGGTGGTCGTCAGCCCCAGCCGCCCCCGGCCCCGCCAGGCAGGACTTAACGGGGGTCCAACGCCCCCAGCCCAGCCCGGGGGCTCAGCCCCCCGCTCCCGCTCCGTACCGGGCGGTCCCGGTGTCCCGGCGGGGCGGGGGGGCTCGGCCAGCGGCTCCCGGCGGTTTTGGGGTGACGGGGGTGCCCCGGGGGCATCCGGCTTCGCTCCCGCAGCTCCGGGCTGGGTCCCGCTGGAGGAGAAGCCCCGGGATGAGGGGGACGGGAGCGAACCCCCCGGTCCCGGTGTCCCCGGCCCCTCCTCCTCCGCGTCTCAGCTTCCCCCGCGGTCCCCGTCGCTCCCACGGGGACACAACCGTGGCCGGGGGTGTCACCTCTGGGGCATGAACCACCGTCCCAGTCCCCCCAAACCTGGACTGGGATGGAAAGCACCCACTGGTGCTCCCAGCACCCAGGAGCAAGGACCCCTCTGGACCCCCTCAGGGCAGGAGGGAGGGAGGGTCCCCCCCACGACCCCGCGAGTCCAGCAGCCGCTGGGTCACTCCCAGACGCTCCGTGTCCCCTCCGGTCCCCGTGCCAGCCCCTGCAGGGCAGTGTCCGGCCCCCGAACCCCGCCACCAACGTTACCTGCCCGTCTCATGGGGGGGGACGCGGCCCCGGGACCCACCGCGATGTCCCTTGGCCGCCGCCCACCGGCACCGCCGCCACCACCAGTGCCACCACCAGTGCCACCAGTCACCGCCACCACCGCCCGGCACCGCTGGTTAATCATTAACAGCCCCGTGCCACCCCAAACCGTGGCACGGGGCCCCGCGTGGGCAGCCTGGGGCCCCTGCCCCCCCCCCCGAAGTGCCCCCACTGTCCTGCCCCCGCCTTCTGCAGGACCCCAACACCCACATCCCGGGGCTGCAGAGGGGGAGCCGGGGTACCCCAGAACAGGCTCGGGATGCTCCATCACCCACCCCAATCTGCTGCTGTGAGCCCCCCCAAACCTGCCCTAGTGGGGGGCTGCAAGCCCCCGGCCCTCCCAGTGCCCCCCCCCCTCGCCCCCCGAGGGGTTTGGAGCCCCCACACCAGCCCCATCCACCCCCACAAGGTTCCCAGGGTGGGGGGAGTGACAAAGACCGCCCAAAACACCCTCTTTCACCCCCTTTCACCCCCCCAGGACCCCATCCCGCCCCCCCGCCGGGGGGATCCCGCTGCCGCGAGCAGAGAGTGACGCGTCCAGTTCAGGCTCCTTTAATTTGCGCCTCAGCCCCTCCCGGACCCCCCCCACGGCGGGGGGGAGCAGGACCGGCCCCGGAGGGGGGGTGCAGGGCTGTGGGGGTCCCGGCAGAGGGTCCTCGCCCACCCCGCGGGGGGGG